AACCTGCACCCCACCCTACTCTTACCACTTAAGCTAAACCCAGGTGACTTACAGATGTGATACTTTTAACGAGTGACAATTAGGAAACTAATTCTACCAACTAGACATTTAGGCCATCTAAGAACAATAACTGAATATCGTGAAGTCAAAAAAAATGTAAGCATGTAGCCACGTCAGAAAAGGTTGATGATTTTCATCATAAAAGCATGTCAACATGCTTAACTAAGTGGCCGGACTGCTCTGATAAAAATGAGAATCTATGAATAGTTAGCATTCAGGACCAATTTAATTCCACAACCAATGTGTGTGAGTTCTATGTAATTTCTGCTTAAGCCCTAGAAAAGATAACAAACTACCTTCTTTCCTTCCTTTTGAAGCTCAGAAGCTCGAAGGTATAATTCACCTCTAACAGCATATTGAGCCTTCTTCACATTTTCATTTATTGACTCGTAGTCTAAGGGTTTTGGAGGCATGGTGAAGAAGACAAAGAGCCAAAATTAAGAAACAAGTTAAGCCAATCACCAACCTGAATAATTCAAAGAAAAGAAGGAATGAGACCCGTATCGTATCGACTATTGACTCATGAAAAATAACCACATATTCTTTCACATGCAAAATGTCGTTAAGTGGGATCATAGGAATGCTGCGGCAATCTTATTGATCCTTCATATTTGGATACTAGAACCATGTTAATGAATTAATTAAACACTGAAAGGCAAGATATAGATACTCGCGATTAGACTCATTGATTTCCATCCGCTTTCAAAATCATGGTGTTATCAAAAATCACATATCAGGTATTCTAAGGCAAATAGCACACTCAATACGTAGAAAGAAATGCAGCAGCGACAAATTTGCCACAACAGAGAGATAACAGAGCTAAACCAAATTAATAGAGAAGCAGAAGAAGTAGAATCACAATTCACTGATTCAGAAACCTGCGGCTCCAAGTCAAACAAGAGGTAAAGAAAGAGTTCTCAACAGATGAATGTTATCGAACAGACCGAGCACACGAACACGTACTCCCGATTCGTACTTTACAAGTAACAAACACGGTTGCATACACCGATGGAAACTCGTTGTTTACAGATTGCCCATATCACAAAACGACGAAAAACTTGCCGTAGAACACTGTAACGTCATTGCTTGATTTTAAAAATCGAGAGAGGTCAATGAAAATGACGTGCATCAATAAAAATCACACCCTATCCGGACAACTGAAAAAGCCCTTCAAGCTTCTGAGGAATTGGCCTGAAAGGAAAACATCTATGAAGCAAGTATCCTTGACGTGATAACCTCCAACCTCAAATACATACCCAGATCATATAAAACGAAAAAGATTCAGTCTTTTCGCCTCGATATTGTTAACGGGGCTCTTGCATATCGAGCATATTAGAGAGCGTGTACCTGATCCTGGAAACTGTTGGTCAAGGGAATCGCGCTTCAAGTCTGAAGTGGAACGCGATAGTTTTTGGAATGTCATAACACGTGTCCTAAACATTTTTGTCTTCTGTGAAACAGATATGCATGTGGCAGCGGTAGTTGGTAAACGCAATGACCGCACTAGAACCAGTGGAAGATAGCAAGCAGATAAATCAACTCATCCAATACACTAGATAGTCATAGGGAAATCCTATGGTGACATTCTAAAAATTTCTTTGGAAAAGTTTGAAATTTTATAACTTTTAAATAACTGAAATTCACCCATCAACACCTTTCTTTTTCAACACTACCAACTCTGCTCTGCATAATGCATTTCATTTGTCAATCCTTGGAACGCGCAGACCAACATTTGCTCACGCATAGGCAAAAAATAAGGTGATGTTCTGGTGATCTAACCTCTACTTACCTGCAATGGACACACCCGATGGTTTGAGCACCATCCTTTTAAATGAAGTTTCTTATGAAGCGAAAGCAACCAGCCATAATACAAACGATCATTGATTACCGGTTGAACTACATGCTTAGTACCTTTTCATAGCTTTTATTTTTTTTAATGAAACTATTCCACCAATTTTTACAACTTTACAACCACACGAAGCTGCCCTCATAATCAGAGCCGGAATCATGGGGCTCCCGCTCCGCTTTCCCCACCGCTAATATTTTCGTAGAATTTTAGTGCAAACAGAGAAAGAAAAGCCGAAGATCTGATTTGATGGTTCCCAACTTCCCATCTTAATATGTTTATCTTCATTTGTGGTTTATTAGAGTCTGGAGTTGGGAACTTTTATCATAAGCTCCTTCCATAACTTATTGCTTTGCTTTTCTTTCAATCCCATCCAAATTAAATCCTCCTCTTGCCATCGTCTCCTTTACTACTTTTTTTCTCCTTTCACTTAGATTCTCAACTTGTAAACAATAATCCTCCGGACTTGATATCCATTTGTCATCCCATATCTTTAACATTTCTCCATTTCTATGATGCTTGACCAAACCTAGAAAGCTTTGTGATCTTTTTTTCGCCTCTAGAAAATTTGAGTCATGAAAGCAGATTCCTTTCAAGAATTCCTTATCCCAAAATTTTAGATTCCACTCTCTAACTTGAAAACATATTTTATACAGAATATTCTTCTGGAACCAGTTTCTGCTCATCATTTTTATAAGAATCTTAAACTCATCATATCTGAACCGTCTATGTCTTATTTTGATGGTTCAGATTTGATTTTCTTTTTATTTTTATTTATTCAAAATAATTATTTTAATATGTACAGAATCTAATATAGGGATTTTTTAGCTATTATTCTTTCAAAAAATAATTTTTTATTTAAAAATAATTAATTAATAATTTTAAATCTAAACCATTTAAATAAGATATAGACGGTCCAGATCTGATAAGCTTATAGTGCTGATGAAAGTAAGCACTAGTTCCTATTCTTCTTGTCTTCCTCTTCTTCTTTTATTTTTTTTTCCTAAAATGGGACAGTATTATTGAGCACCATTCTATTTCCTATGTATGCCAACTAATTTCCAACGCTCCGATTCCTTTCAAGAATTCCTTATCCCAAAATTTTAGATTCCACATTCTGACTTGAAAACATATTTGATACAGTATATTCTTCTTGTCTTCTTCTTCTTCTTTTTTTCCCCCCTCCTAAATCGGAGAGCATATTGAACATCATTCTATTTCCGATGTATGCCAACGAATTTCCAACGGTCCCTCTCATCGAATTGAGTCAAGTCGGTCAACAAGGGTCACAAATATTCATAAATCATCACAAATTATGTTATTTTCAATTAGCATGACCACGTTCTCTTAAAATTTTTCCCAAGTTATATTTTCTCTGCAGGAGAAGTACTTTTCTGATTCTTAATATAGGACCTAATTGTTAAGTTAGTTTTGGTTTTATATATGAGATCCATTTTTCATATTTATCAATTTTTTTCCAAATTACCCTTATGGATACTCCTTCAACCATAATCAAGTAGAAAAGAGAGATAGGTATTAAGAAAGATGATTATGGTATTTTAGAAAAAATGTATCACATTTTTTATAATTAACTAACTTACCTAGTATGTCACATTTCTTATAATTAACTATCTTACTTAATTTTTTTAATTTAATTAAATTAGTTAAATAGGTCTCATATTAAGAACGGAAAGAGTATCAATTTTTTTTCTGAGTGTATACCATATCATACGACAAATTTTAACATTGGAAGAATTACTATGAGATGATTCAGAATTTAATTACTAAAAAATCTTAACAAGGAGCATAAATGCTTTGTCATTTTTCACACAGTAACTTCCCTTGGAACTAACTAATTGCAATTCCTCCTTTCAATATCGCCCGTGTGAAAAATTTAGTCGTTTCTTGGATGCCAAATCGGGTAAATACATTTTCCCGTTCTCATAACAGGGAGGATGCCCGAAGTTGCAGTTTTTGCAGTATTGTTTGAAACGTGTCAATGTCTGCCAGAGTGCCACCTGACCCCAAAAGAGAGATCTCTGTGAAGAGAAGACTGAGAGCCCGTTTGGTTCAACTACACGACCATATTAAGCTGCAATGCAATGCAATGCAGTAAATGGTAATGTAATCTTTATTACCATAAACATGTTTGGTAAGTTATAAAACTTAAAAGAATGATATGTATTATTTAAAATATAAAACACTGTGAAATTATAATTTTGCCCCTCTTGTAGAAAAAAAATCTTCTCTCTTCTTTGTTCAAACATTCCCTTCTTAAATTTTCATAAATTCATCAGATCTGAAAAATCAGTGAAGCTCCTTGGCAAATGCACAACTTTCTTCTGCCCATTCGTCATCTTCTCCCTCCTTAGCCAAAACCAACTTCAACCAACTAAAATCAAAGAAACAAATAATGAACAATAGCAAGAGGGAATGCTGGAGAAGCTGTTGATGGAAAGGAAAGAACCAGCACCGTCTATGATGGTTGCTATGGTGGAAACTGAAAAGAAAGGGCTCCAAAATAAAATCAAAGTGGCTTCTGAATTAAAATACTATTGATGAAACTTGATTAAAACAAGCTGCGAGACTAAATAGAAAAAATTAGTTAAGATCTAAAAAAAATTCAATCTAATGTTGCAGTGAAAAGGAATGACGGTGAAGGAGGGCAAGTGCGAGGGAAGGTAGAAGAAGAAGAACGATTGAGATGAGTTGAGATGAGTTCACAAAGGAGTAGTTAAAGACAAACATCATTGGGCTCTATTGGCTTTGATTTGAGATTGGCTTTGCCAATATCTGATCTACAAAGGTATTGGATGAGGAAGGAGGAAGGTGGCAACGGTGTGGGTGAAGCACGGGAAGACAACGAGTAAGGGAGGTGAAAGGAAAAATGACAAGGGAAAGTAAATTGAAGGGCAAATGAGACTTTTTAAAATATGCAATAGGATGGTAACGAGTATTCACATGGGGGAGGTACGAATGGGTATTATCAAAATTTTGGTAATCTACATTACCATGGTAAATCCTATTACCACACTAAAAAGCAACCAAACATTCATATTACCAAACATTCATATTTTGGTGATGTAATCCTACTTACCATTGCATGCCTGTAATGGAATTGAACCAAACGGTCTGAGGAACAATATTGCGTTGGGATGGATCATGCACGTGTAACAAATAGCGAATACCGTAGAGCCACCTGAAGAGCCTGTGATCACCTGAAATGGCGGCCACTCCGCCGTCTCCGTCGTACTCGTTATCCTCAAATCCGAGCAGCTTCACCCACTTTTCCAAATCTCTTAAACCCATTTACTCTTTGGTCCTCCCTAAACCAGAACCAGTCAAAGCCTTCAAGAACAATCGCATCTGTAGGTGTGAGATCAGATGCTTCGAACCCCATCATAGCTGGACAATTGAGCACGTGTCGGAAATGAAGGATTCGATCCAGAGTAACTCCTCTTCTTCTTCGACGGTCTCAGTCTCTGCCGCTAATGTCGCTTCACAGAATCCCACGAGGAATTCCAAAAAGGTGTCTTTGTTTTACTGCGATGAAACGAAGACGCTGGCGCAGAAAATCGCCGCTGAGGTTGACGCCATTGAACTTCGGAACATCAGCTGGGGGTTGACTTTCTTTTTTATTTCGATTCATTTACGATACACCTACTTCTTAGTTTGTAATGAAATTTGAGTGAATTAGCTGGTCAATTTATGTCCATTAGGCCAAAAATGGCTCCAAGAGTTGTCCGTATAAGCTTCCTTGCTGGTTATAATTTTGTGCTGAATTTCGTATGTGTCAATTGGGGAACTTAAAAGAACCGTTAGGAGATATCTATAGATTCGTTTAGAAGGTTCAATGCCATTACTAATATTTCACCCGGTTGTCGCTGTCCCTAAGGAGAATTTGGGACGTACATTGGTGTGTTGAAGAGTATGGTTTACCATTGTCGATTTTAACTTATTCAGGAAAGTTATGTTTCCTTTGGTGCATTTCGGAGATTTTTAATTCACTGGAATTGTTATTGAAATGTTATTGTCTTCATTCTAGCTTGTTTACACTGTGCCTAGTGAGTTCGAGGGAGACTTTGTCACTGAAATACTCTTTATGGCTAACACATTTTAGGAAATTTCCTGATGGCTTCCCCAACATATTCATACCTAATGCCCAAGGCATTCGCGGACAGCATGTAGCTTTTCTGGCTTCATTTAGTTCACCAGCAGTAATTTTTGAACAGATCCCTGTCATATATGCATTACCGAAACTATTTGTTGCATCATTTACCCTTGTCCTTCCATTTTTCCCTACGGGCACTTCTGAGCGTATGGAGGATGAAGGAGATATTGCTACAGCGTTTACTTTGGCTAGGCTTTTATCAAACATACCGATTTCAAGAGGAGGACCCACTAGCTTAGTGACTTTCGACATTCACGCTCTGCAGGTTCATCATTCGTGTCTATTATTTGAAGAATGCTTTTTCTAAGTAATTATTGGATTGGCAATACCATACATTGTTCCTTATCTTTGTTCCTTGTTTTCTCACCAAAATCTTGACTATAGTCATTTGCTTATTTGTTGCAATACAGGAGAGGTTCTACTTTGGTGATAACATCTTACCATGCTTTGAGAGTGGCATACCGTTGCTTAAAAGAAGGCTTCAGGATCTCCCTGATTCTGATAATGTTAGACTTACACTTATATCCAGTTCTTTGTTTTCTGTGCTGTGTTTCCTGTACATGTTTAACTTTTCCCTGCATACTCTTCTATTGGAAAGTACTACTTATTACTGCCCATTGGCATCTGAAAGTAATAAAATTTCTTTCATGTTAGGCCAAGTTTGGTAGAAGAGAAAGCTGAGGGAAAGGGAATGCTGTTAAAAAACAATAGGCAATTGTTCGTGATCTTGTTATTATTGTTATTTAATAGTGCTTGTCCTTTTCTATTATTTTTCAAAATTGAGATCCCATTGTCGTTACCTTTTCTTTTCTTTTTTTTCAAGAAAGCCCCATGCTTACATTGCACACGTCAATTTGATTCTAGAATAATCATCTATGAGCTATGTGGAAAATCAAACAGGTCTTTTACAGAGATTGATTTGAATGTGGATAATTATATTTTTAGATATATCTGATTCAGTAATGTTTAATTTTAATTTATTTTTCAGATAGCAATTGCTTTTCCTGATGATGGTGCTTGGAAACGATTTCATAAGCAACTGCAGCATTTTCCAACGGTATTCTATACAATTCTTGTGATAGTGTTGCCCAAATACAGGAAAAGTGATCAATATAATATTTTGCCAGCACTTATATAGGAGCCGGTGGTGTAAACATACATAACCTGCAGTGATGCTTCCATCTATTCTGCATGCATCTTTTGGTTATACAGATAGCTCTTTAACATCCTTAACATTATACACAGATAGTCTGTGCAAAAGTTCGGGAGGGAGATCAACGGATAGTTCGCATCAAGGAGGGAGATCCTAAGGGTCGGCATGTTGTAATTGTAGATGACTTGGTTCAATCAGGTGGCACTCTGATTGAATGCCAGGTATAGACATGATATGTTTTGCCATTTTATGCGGTTTAATTTGTCTATCCAAAGATGTTTGTTCCTGCACCAGTGTAAAAAAGCACATCTACATTGAGTACTTTCCAAGGCAAGCCAGATTTGTTTTAATTGAAACAGAAATCAGATTGAGAGAATAATTCAAACTGTTCCTTTTCTACTTCGGATCTCTGAAAAGTAAAGAAACAGAAGTTGATACAGATTTTTTTTTTTTTTGTGGGTAAACTTGCTCATGAAGGCATGAAGAAATAAAATTTCCTGTTCAAACACTAATTGGTGGCATGGAAAATTCAATCACATGATCTTGAATTTTAACTTAGGTTTAGCATGAATCAATCCATGGCTGCCCTATTCCTTTGCGTAGGCCTCTTTCATATGGACCTGGAGGGTTTGATGGGCATATATGTTTTCCTATATGACGGGCGAGACCTTGTGTGGTTTGAGTTTCATTCCTCCATTGTTTTGATCATTCATTTCCAGCTCTAACTTAACCTGCTGCTGAGAAAGTCATAATGCTTGATCCGCATTTATAATCTGAAACTGTAAAGCATCTTTGGAAGAAACTGGTAACTACTTTGCCTCAACAGGAAGAATTAGGGCTTACAAAAGGGATCATTAATGTTTGCCCTGTGTGACGAGGATGGGCTGCTTCTTAACCCTGCTTACTTAAAAGTTTGTCTTCATTGCTTTCTTTCTTTCCTTTCCTTTCCTTTTTTTTTTTTTAACTTTTTTTTAAAGGATAGAAGACAAAGGAAAGCGGGGGGTTTTACTTAAAGCTTAAATTGCATAACATGAATCTAACAACTGGCAAAATTTGTCATCTTTCAGAAAGTCTTGGCAGCTCATGGAGCAAAGAAGATCAGTGCTTATGTGACTCATGGCATTTTCCCAAATAAATCATGGGCACGCTTTCAACATGATAATGGAGGTAGTGCTTGCTTTACTCACCTCAATTATTAGCCCTTTAAGCCTTGTTCATTGCCTCTTCTTTTCTTGCTTAGGAGGAAAATAATACATTTCAAATTTCAAATTTCAAAATATTTGTGAATTTAATACTAATTTATCAACTTGTGCTGACTTTCAGCTAATTCTTAGTACCTTCTGTCGAGCTTGTCCTTTGACTGTGTTATGTTGACAGTTTCCACGTTTTCTGTCATGGCTGTTGAATGTGATGTTAGTTATTTAAATGACATCCAGACTACACTTTCCTTCCACGTTCTTGTTTGAATTCTTATTTTTTATTTGATACAGGACATCCTGAGACGGCATTCGCGTACTTCTGGATCACAGATTCATGCCCCTTGACCGTGAAGGATGTCATGAATAAGCCACCCTTTGAGATTCTCAGCCTTGCAGGCTCTATAGCAGCCAGTCTTCAAATATGATAGCATTCAGGCACAAATGAAATGGACAAGAGAGTAGACCTCCCTTTGGTAGTGACGGTTTAAGTTGAGCCATTTAGTGTGCGGCTTTTAGTTAAAGATATTTGCAAGGGAATAAAATACTGCCAAGAACTCCTGCTTAGAGCAATGTGATCAAAATAACTTGTTTCTGAGCCATAATTTGACTCCAAAATTAAATAACTTGTTGTGAATGTTTAGTATTATAAATAAAATGTACCTTTTTTTTCGAGTTAATAGTTCTGTCCCAAGCCTGTTCCTCTCTTTTTCATGGAAAAATCTATGTTGCTTTGAGAAAGGAAGGAACGTGGGATCTAATTAAGATTTGATTTATTTTAAGACAGAACAGTATTGCCTAGTCATTAAGATGTTCCACAAGACTATCTCCTAGAAAGTTGTAAAAATACTACACACACCCACAAAGAGGCAAGAACATTCTTATGGCCGCATTTTTTTTTTTTGAGTATTTGCTTAGTCATGCACGCATGGTTGAGGTTTTGAAAAAAAAAAAAAAATCTTACCCTTCATTATCAAATGCTTGTTGACAGTTATGCAACTAGTGAGCAGCCGGCTGCAGTCATTATCACTGCAAGTCTAGGCCTCAGCCGGCATGAAAATGTCGTTATATAATGTCAAAACCAGTTCTCATTTCATAGTATATCTTTTTCTTTTTAACGGAAAGACTTTTCATTTCACGCTCTCTCATATGGTTGGTTTGGACTTTGGGTTTCACCCACGGATGGTTTAGCTTTTGATAAGCTCCTTCATGCTTTATTTTAACCTTTGATGCCTCACACATTAAAACTTGTCTCCTTCTGATATAGTGGAGCCATGTTAGATTGAGAAGGAGCCAAGTTAGGGGTCACAATAAAACGGAATAGGTCATAGGCAATGTTAATGTCAATCTCAATGACACCAAAAGTTGGCACGTGGCAATGCGTGGTGAGAAGCCACCTTAAAATGATCGCAAACACCTTTCAAAAGCTACAAGGTTCGATTAAATTGCGTGGTTGGTTCATGACAGTCAAGCTGCATCGTCCCAAGTTGAGTGAAATTAAATATCGTCCTTCTAAAATAGATTTTATATTTTTGGCCAAAGAGGAAAGATTTTCTTTGTCATTTGAACGAAGAAGCATGGCAGTGTATTAAAGAAAAGGAAACCAGGCTTCCTCTCTCTTATTACATTAAACCTGATAGCATCCTATTAAAGTGGTACTAAATACCGAACTAAAAAACAGAAGTTATATGGGAAAATACACGTAATGAATGACCAATGATAGCACCATATAACATTAATGTTCATTCATTAACTGTACTTGATTTGGCGTGTATTGCCGTCGGAGATCCCACAGAGGATGCCAGTGCCCCAACCCTCCTTATAATTACAGATAAGAGGCGGCCAATATTGTGAATACCAAGCACTAATTGACTAGGAAACCACAGTAACATCTTAACGATTCAAGGGAAACAACTGGTTGACTTGATATAGAATTATTAATTTATTCATTTTATGAGAACATATGAGAAGATGGGTCACAGAAAATATCAATCTTCATGAGCTAAAATATTTCTGTTTCTTCAAGGAACCAACTACAAAGTTATGACAAGCACAGAACTTGCTCTTTAAAGATTGTTTATTGCTTTCCCTCTTTATCTCTTCTCTCTCTTCCCTCTTTTCTTCACAAGGAAAGTTTCATGACCACCACAACCATGGCTTCCTTTAATCTCCTTCCTCCTCTAACTCATCTCCCTCTGCTGGCCACTTTATTTGTTACAGTTTTTTCCTTTCAGACTTCCATCAAAGCATCTTATGTAGTCCATTTTAAATGCTCTGCGAAAATCAACACATGTAATGCCTTACTCTACCACATAAACCAAGGTCTTGACATAGAAGACATAGCCTCTCTTTACTCTGTTAATTCATCCCAAATCCAACCAATAACAAGGGGGGCCAATCAAGACTATCTCATAACTGTCCCTTGTTCTTGTAAAGCCGTCACAAACCTTAGGGGATATTTCTTTGACACAACATACACAGTGCAGCAAGATGAGACATATATGAATATCTCAAACTTCTATTACAGCGGACAAGCCTGGTCTCCTACTGATAATCTGACCACAGGTGAAAACTTAACAATACATCTTCCCTGTGGATGTACAGAAAGTGATTCTCAAATCATTGTGACATATACGGTCCAGCAGAATGATACAACAGCAGAAATCGCCAATTTGCTATCAGCTACGCTTACTGGCATTCAGAACATGAATGGAGTTTTAGCTAATAGGCCTTCATTCATAGATGTGGGTTGGGTGTTATATGTTCCTAAGGAGCTCAATGGGATTCCATCTTCAAAAGGAAGTGGTAAGTAATCTAGTTTTACTTGTTATCTTCTACTTATGTGATTATATTTGATGGAAGTTTTGAAGTACTCAAAAAAAAATTTAATGCAGCTATAGTTATTTATTCAGGAAAACAACGTCTAGAGTTGTTTTTAAGATCTAAGAACACCATGAGATGAACATTTTGCGGGCTTATATATCAAATAATACCCCTGGTAATAAGACGACACGAATTTTCAATATCTACTTCAACCTTTCAACTTCAGAAGATAATGTGCTGTTTTTGGTTAAGTCCTAGAAAAGAATTTGTATGTGCTGGTACTTCTGACGTTAATACTTTTCTTTCTGCTTTGGTTTTCTTCCCCTTTTACCAGGAAAGAAACGAAAGCGTTCCATTATCATTGGTGTCTTGGCGGGTGTGGCATTACTTTCTGCTATCACAATAACCATTCTCATTCGATGGAGAAAAAGAGCCACTGAAACCAGCAATGAAGATGCAAAAGCTGTATCGAAAAGATCAACTTCAAAAGCATTTTCTAAACGATCGATTTCCAATAGAACTCTTTCCTTAAAGAACCATCAGTTTCATATAGAAACTATAGAAGGTAAATAATAGCTATTTATGATGATTTCTGACGAACAAATTTTACAATCCAATGTGGGGAGAGACTGAATCATGGCAATTAATGTCGGTGCAGAAGTAACATCAATTGACTCAGAAAGACCAGTAACATTTTATCTTGAGGAGATTGAGGAGGCCATAAACAAAGAAGGTAAAATAATAGGAAAGGGCGGATATGGGACTGTGTATTTTGGAATTTTAGGAGATAAGGTACGTACAATCTCATCAAAATTATAGTGATCCTGATCAAAACGCAGGCATATCTAATGGCAAATTTAACTTTCAGGAGGTTGCTATAAAAGAGATGAGGTCTAGTAAATCCAAAGAGTTCTATGCAGAACTGAAGGTCTTATGCAGGATCCATCATATCAACATTGTAAGGAATGTCTCCAGTGAAAGGATCTTCAATGCAGTTTCTAGGACTTGATTTGATTAATTGCAGACGTAACTTCTGTTGCAGGTGGAGCTATTGGGATATGCCAGTGGAGAAGATAACCTCTATTTAGTGTATGAGTATGTTTCAAAAGGATCTCTCAGTGACCATCTTCACGATCCATTTCTAAAAGGTATATTAATTTAGTTCAAGATTTCTTTGCCTGCAACAAATACCTAAGAGACCTCTTTAGATACAAAAAAATAGGCCAAGAAGGGTTTTACTGTCAAAATGGATAAAGTTGCAAGACCAGTAACACCACGAAGGCCATAATCCTAACTTAATTTTTATTTCAGGTGCACTTTATTATTGCAAATACAGAGAAGAAACCAAAGTTTATATATATATATATATATATATATTTGTATCTATAACTTTAAGAATGGTACTGGAACAGGTCATGAACCTCTTTCATGGACTGTTAGAGCACAGATTGCTCTGGATGCTGCAAAAGGTCTTGAGTACATACATGATTACACAAAAGCACGGCATGTGCACCGAGATATCAAGACTAGCAATATTCTTCTCGACAATAAACTCAGAGCCAAGGTACTCATCACTTGAGTTCTTTCATTCTTAAGTCCCATTTTGTATAACATATGGAAAAAGATTCTGTTTTTCGTAGCACACATACCAAGATATGAAACATCTATCATACCCCTGTCATTATTATTCAACAGTAACTTCTATTATTTTTCTTTTCATTCTGTTCCATTTTTCGTTTCATTCCATTGTGTGAGCCAAAGAAACTCTTAGTTCTATCTGAAATATCCCCTTCTGAATTATACTTAATTTTACGTACATTGTGTCGATACATGTGTACAAGGCATGGTAGTCTGATCTAACCGCATACTTGGTATTTATATGACATCGCATATCCAGTTGTCTCTTCAAATCTACTATTGCTTCTTCTGAAAAGTAATGAAACTAGGTAAGGTTGTCAGAAGTAACTCCCGTTCGGAGAATCATCAATTATTTCATTTGTTTTTAAAACTAAGTTGTGAAACTAACATTGAATCAATTATGTGTACTTCATAGTTCACTTCATTAATTTTGATACATAGATTGCAGATTTTGGACTAGTAAAGCTGGTAGAACGAACAAACGATGATGATTTTATAGCAACAAGGCTTGTTGGAACACCAGGCTACCTTCCCCCGGAGTAAGTTTTACGTCAGCATCATGTATAATAAATTATAATTAGGCTTTGTTGATTTTTCTTCTGATATTCATGATTATATATATTTTCAGATCTGTGAAGGAGCTTCAGCTGACCTCAAAAACCGACGTTTTTGCATTTGGAGTAGTTCTAGCAGAGCTAGTAACAGGGAAACCTGCTCTATTTCGTGACAGCCAAGAAACCTGCAGAATGAGATCGCTCATTTCTGTCGTAAGTCAGACTCCACTTTTGGCACTGGAGTCTATATTTAGTCTAATCCAACAGCGGTACCCCTTGCATACTTCATTTGTGTTCATACCTATTACATGATATATGGGTGAAATTACATTCATTCCACACAAACTTAACTTTGAAAGTGTAACTTAATATTCTGGTGCGTCCATTTTATTATTGACTTCAGATGGAAAGCTAAACTTTCCTCTTCTCTTCTCTTTTTGTTTTTCTGTTCTTTAACATTCAGATCAATAAAGTATTTGAAGCTAATGACCCAGAGAGTGCTTTAGAGGATATCATAGACAAAAACCTTCGAGATACCTATCCTGTGGAGGATGTCTTCAAGGTTAGATTCAATCTTGGTTCATGCATACACATATATAATGCTCACTTTCAGTCTTATATCTGTGGGCCTCTTCAGTTCTGTTTGGAAAAATAGCTAACAATCAATGATGCAGAAAATGAAAATGGAGACTTCTAAGATTTTGTTCTAGTCTCTTTCATATTGTAATTCTGGAGATTCAATTCCCCTTTTTACTGCCTTTCTTATTTCAACGATATTATAGATATATTATTATGCATGCACCGGTGAGAATATATCTTCTGAAGGTGAAGTTAATGAAGTTAGATGCAAGGTATTAGTATTTTACATAAAGTACCAGTACTTTGCATTCAACTTCAGCCTCACAAATTCTCAACTTCAAAGGATCTTAGACATGAAAGAATTTGAACTTAGCGTATGGTTGCCTCTAACGCGAAAGTGAATGTTGCAGATGATAGAAGTAGCTGAAAGATGCTTGCGTGAGGAACCAACAGAGAGGCCAGAAATGAGGGAGATTGTGTTGATTTTGTCACAGATTTTGATGTCCTCCACAGAATGGGAAGCATCATTAGGTGGAAACAGTGAAGTCTTTAGCGGCGTATTTACTGGAAGATGATCACTTCCCTCTCTCTCCCAAACTTAAATTTCACCTCACTTTTGAAGCCATTATATATGTTCATATAATCACACAGTATGGTTAGGATCCTCTTGTATTTATTAGGATTATATATGAAAATTATTCACAGTTTTCAACAAATATGAAACCTCTCAAATGAAGGACTCATGACAGTTCCACATCATGGGGAAAATAGGCAGATACAGTGTCAGTGGAATGGAGGTGTGTTTCACTGAGTCTTCTTAATGACTTCAACAGCAGTACGTCCTTCTCTCCAACTCCAAGATCAGCAGCAAACACTTGAGCCGGAGGCCTTTTTTTTGCCAGTTGTCACTAACTTGAGACCTTTTTGTGTTAACCAATTAATTGATACAATGAGACTGCTGTATTTGGTTGAGGATTTCTTGTTCCAACCAATGTTTTATTGTCCCCATCATCGTCATCTTTTCAGGAGCGTATTCCATGCTCATCACAATGATGTGCACGTCGCAATATGGACCATCCAAATCAATTTTAAATGGTTCAAATTGAATTTAAATTTTTATATATGTTAATTAACTTTTTGTTTTAATAAATATAGAATTTAAAATAAATATAATATCATAACTAATGTATCTTTAAAAAATAAATTTACTATTGAAAAAATTATACATTAAAAATTTTAAATATAAACCATCCATATTAGATTCTGAATGGTTTAAATTGCATCATGCTTATCATTGTGATAAGTATTGAATGAAGACCTCATCTTTTCTAGTTTTCTTTGCTTGTTCTTATTAGGCTAGAGATTTTTATGTGATTCCTTTCTTTTTAATGTCTTGTGAATACAATTCTATTTGAAAAACTAGTCAATTCCGGTACATCAAACCCATTGGTAGTGTGATTTCTTTTTTCATATACCCATAAGATAGAATGGTAAATAAATAAACTAAACTTATAATTAATGTTTTAGTATTTGATAGGTGAGAGAAATTTGTTAACATATTCTACAAAAATAATGCTTTTAATATTATCTATTTATTCCCATTATCAATATCAGGACAAAAAATAAAAAAAAAATCTGAAGCCTGTCAGATTGTTTTTTAAAGAAAAAGTGGGGATCGATAGGGGAAAAAAACGGAGATACGCATCCGGGTAAAAAAAGGAATGTGAAGCCCATGATCACTAAAGTTCCGTTGAAGTCTCCATTCATCAATATCCAACTTTTACCTCGCAAATCAATCCCGACCCTTGTCTGTTAGATATTACTCCTCAGACTTTGAAAGCAGCAGAGGGCAAAAACAAAAAACTTTGAAAACGCCAGCATCCCTTAATAAGTCATGAGTCCATTTAGAATAACTTATAATTAACTTTTTAATTATGATTTACAGAATATAAAATGAGTACGTGAGAGAAACTTTATCTCAATTCACACAAAAACGTACTTATAATTGTTTTTGAACCCTATCCCAAGCTGGCTTCATAACCGCACGTCACATGGTGGGCCGATAGTTTGTTTTGCTTAGGTGAAAAAATAAAAGAAAATTACAATAAAATATAAAAAAAGTAATTATCAATAAATTTAATAATAAGTGAACAACAGTTATTTATTATCTTAAAACTTGTAATTACAAAATAACAATTTCCCCAAAAATAAATTGCTGATGGGAAAGTGCAAAGAAAAAAAACCGCTTAGGTTGCACACATTTATTTCTCACAATACTCATATCTCCATCATCCTAAGAATGTGGCATTTTAAATTCATTATCAGAATTAATATTCCCAAGGTTTGCCCATCAGCATTTCAGATCAGCATCTATAGGTCCATCCATATTACTGGTTTGTCCGACGGGAAGAAGTTTTATTTTTCTGGCTCTAAAGTTGAGATATAGCATATTTTATCATTATCTAATTATTTTATTACACAAATGAAATGATAAATAAAATTAAATTAATTTTTTTAAAAAACCGATAACCTTGTTAAAATAAATAAATAATTTTAAAAAAATTAAATAATATTTGTAAAAATACAATTGATATTAAAAAAATCAATATCTTTCTGCCAAAGGTATTTTTACCCTCACAGTATCTCCATTTTTTAATATAACACCTAATTTAATTTTTAATTTGATTTAAAATGTGATATCCTAATCTACTTTGCTTCTCATATTTATTTATTTTTTTTAAATAGTTCTTATAATAATTGTATATGTTAAATTTTTCATCAAATTACACTCTGTAGTAAGAGTGTTTTAGTAAAAATAATAACTATTACTTACAAATAACTTATTTAATTAATTATCTTAATATACTTAAATTAATCAACTAATTTTTATAGTAAGCACGAGTATGTTACAGGAATAGGATCGCGGTTGTTATCTTTTTTAAATTTTGGATTGCAATTTACTAGAAACGTCGTCGTTGCAATTTCTTTGTACCCGAAGAAAAATTTGCCACCACCATCCACACCGCGAACTATCGTCAGCTCCATTAGCGTTCTCGGACAATAAAACAAGGAGCTCTTGCAATTTGCCTTCCCCGTATGTAACTGCAGAAGCTCGAACGCAAACCTTTAAAATAATGGCTCTGCCACTTACATGGCGGGCTTAGCCCTAGACTCCCCAATTTCATTTCCACATACATATATCTCGAACCTAGATCTACCTCTGGTTGATTCCCTTTCCGTCTCTGTACCGCCGATCCGATCTGATTCCAATCCGATCCAATAGGATCCGGTCCTCGGGATCCATACGAAGCATTTACCAATGGCAGGGGCAGCCTCTGCTCTCTTCCTTCTTGACATCAAAGGCCGCGTTCTCATTTGGCGCGACTACCGGGGCGATGTCTCTGCCGTCGAGGCCGAGCGCTTCTTCACCAAGCTCATCGAGAAAGAGGTTCGCTCCTGTGTTCCAATAGATCGATGCCTTTTGAGTTTCTAGTGCACTGCTTGTTTCTGCAGAAACTATAGGAAACGAAGTGAAAACATAATGTATAGGTGCATTTTTTGTTTGCATTGGATAAATTTAACTTAGCATAGGTGACGCTCGATCTCTGTTTAGCTCTTTCTCAATGTTTTTTGGAAGAATTTTAGATTTAAGTTGTTCAACGGCGCTGGTGAATTTTGAATCACTGGAGGCGGAATTGTAGAATATGTAAATTTGTTCTGAATTTTCCTTTACTGGCCGTGCTATGGACTTCTATGGCTTTCTATATCATGGGAGAACTAAGTTCAGCTGCCTTTGGCGTTTTGTAATGCTTCAGGGAGATCCGCAATCTCAAGATCCAGTTGTATATGATAATGGTGTGACCTACATGTTTATACAGCATAGCAATGTCTACCTCATGATAGCAGCCAGGCAAAACTGCAATGCCGCTAGCCTTCTTTTCTTCCTACATCGTATAGTTGATGTGAGTATTATCGGTAATTATGGTTCTAAAAGTATCCAGATTTGAGAATTTACACAAACGACTACTATGATGCCCTCAAATTATCCTGTTCTTTACGGCAGGTGTTTAAGCACTATTTTGAAGAATTGGAAGAGGAATCACTTAGGGATAACTTTGTTGTGGTGGTAAAATGCCTTGGAACCTTCTAATAGTTCTATTAATTAATTACATTGATACAGTTAGTTCTATCCTTTACTCAAACAAATGAACAATCACCCTTAACTTTTCTTATTGGCAGTATGAACTCCTTGACGAAATTATGGACTTTGGCTACCCTCAGTATACCGAGGCAAAGATTCTAAGTGAATTTATCAAGACCGATGCTTATAGAATGGAAGTTACACAGAGACCTCCTATGGCTGTAACTAATGCTGTGTCTTGGCGTAGCGAAGGCATAAATTACAAGAAAAATGAGGTGTCTATTATTTTCTTTTTGCAAGAATTCCCATTTTGATCGGTAATATGATGGTCTTGCACACCAGTTGACATCTTCCCTTTTTCATTTTCAGGTTTTCTTGGATGTGGTCGAGAGTGTTAACATACTTGTCAATAGCAATGGGCAAATAATTAGGTCTGATGTTGTTGGAGCACTGAAGATGAGAACATATTTGAGGTTTGTTTTCTACTTCTGATAACTGAGTTTCAAGCCCTTGAGATGAGCTGCTAGCAAACTAGGTTAGCTATTGGCTTTATAGGTTGATGATTTCCTTAGCTTCATGGCCAAAGAAGAATTTATAGAGGGAGAAGGATGATAAGGAATTGTAGGATCAGGAATCCTTTTAAGAACAAAATAAACAAAAGGGAAAAGGAAAATAAAAGGCAGCAGCTCAGTGGAGATTTAAAATTTCTTGGCATAATTGACTGGAGAAAATGCCTTAACTGTGAGTATGTAAGTCCATGTAGAAGGAAGGAAACTGCCCCGTTCCAAAGAAGGTTCACAGTTAGAAACCCCTGGCTGAAATTTGAGAAAATGCCTTAACAAGCGGAGAAGAAAATCTCTAGAGTGGGACACTATAACTGCTTGGCAACCCTACAATGCAACGATAGTTAGCAGTAACTAGACAACCCCCTCCCCAAAAAAATGAAAGAAAGAAAGAAAGGGAAGGAAAGAAAAGAAGATGTAACATATAACTCAATTACTTGGTGACAAAGCACCGTGCGTTCAATCAAATGCATTTGCTGCAAATCGTTATTATTGCTAATAAATAAATTACTATCCATACAGATAACTTTTAATCTAAAAGGTTTGGTTAACCTTCCTACAAAAGTTCAAACTGCTGGAATGTGTGGGATATTCTCCACAGATGATAGGTTTTATGGTGCAATTTTTCTGCTAGTCACTACTGAAAGTTCGATATTTACTTTTTAGAGTGGATTGGACTTGATTTCGTTTTTTTCTGATAGAATGTTTACGGGGAGAATGTTCAAAAATTATGTTACATGCTTTGGCAGAATTAAAGCAATGTTTCTTTTTATGCAAATTTTATCTGTGATTCTTCTGGATGTTGTGCCCTGGTAGCATGGTGTTTGTTTCTTCAAATTGATTGCTTCACCTAATCATGTTGGTTTTCCTA